AAGAGCAAGTCACCCCCTACAAGAAACTTACTTCACTCCCTCTTCATGTTTGAAAAATGCAACAAATGCTGTTGCCTAGCAGACCGAGAGGGTGGAGCCACTAACAAATACACACACACAGGCTCACAATGGCATTGTGACATCATAATGTACCAGTTTACATCATAGCATACCTCTTAGCCAATAGCGGTGGCAGATTTAAATTCAAATGCAGTTAAGAGTTTTTACCTGACAACAGCACAACACTGACAGTTTTAGGTAGAAAATTAAAATTCTAACTAAAATGCACTAAAGTGCAAAACTATTGACTACACGTGTCTGCAGCACGATTAGACACACACTTATGTAGTTTATCAGGAAAAAAAAGTTGATTTGGGGGTGACTTGCTCTTTAAAGAACACATTACTGATTTGGAAGGTGGGCTCAGAGGACACGATGCAATTACCATCCCAACTTCAGGCGGCGATGCAAAGTGCTCTCCTACCGATGATGCAAAGTGCTTTCCTACCGATGATGACTGAGATGAGGAACATGATGAACATGTTCAGCACTCTTCAGCAGGACGTCGAGGGCGTCAAACAGTCTGTGCGTGAGTTTCGGGCGACACGGGCAGCAACCACGTGTTTGGCCGATAAGCCGCCGGATGAGACGAAGATGCTGCAGGCTGATGTTTTCACAGGTTCTGACTCGCAGGAAACAAACAACACCTCAAAGGAAAGCGACAACACCTCACCGGTCGTTCCATCCGTGGCGATGTTAGGCGATGCACCCATGGACGACGACCCCGGTACCGCTATCGCCGTGACTGACAAAGTTTTGCTCGCACCTCTGGTTGTGAGGACGGGGTCTGATAGGCCCGCAGTTGAGGTCACTGTACATCAGGGACATCGCTGTGTCGCGTTATTGGACACAGGTGCGGACATTACGCTCATGAGCGGAGGTTTTTACAACAGCATGTGCGACAAAAGGGGGGAGGGCCTCTCACCCCCCCCCCCCCCCCCCCCATTACAGGCCCGATGATTTTCACTGATTTCGGTGGCGCTCCAGCAACCGCGTCTTCGAAGACTGAGGTGAACATCTCTATAGGGGCCATGTCCTTAAAACACCCCGATACATCGATGAAAACATGCCCATTCCCATGCTCATAGGGTTGGACTGTCTACGGCGCCTTAACGCTAAAATCAGCTACAAGTCCGGGGAACTGTTTGCGCGTGTGAGAAAGCCTAAGCCGTACAAACCGCCGCCCGACAAGGACTTCCACTACTCTGTGGCCAGTCTTTCGGGTGAGGCCGCGACTACGGGCTCACCACCACGCTCAAAGCCACCCGGAAAGCCACCTGAAGTTCTGTCCCAGATTGAGAATGTCATAGAACAAGCTGATGCTCTCACCAACGAGGTCGAGAGAGACAAACTACGACAACTTTTGCTGAAGTACTCGGATTTTCTTTCGCTTGACTCCTTGGACTGTGGTCTGACCACCATCCATGAAGTCCGGATTCCTACAAGGCCAGATGCACCGCCAACCTTTGTGCGGCAATACAAGATTCCCCTGGCGTCCCAAGGACCCGTCCAGGAAATCATTGACAGCCTCTTGGCTAACGGGATCATTCGACCCTGCAATAGCACCTACTCGGCTCCATTGTGGCCGGTACTGAAGCCCAATGGTAAGTGGCGGCTAACCATTGACCACCGGCAACTCAACAAACAGGTTCCCTTGTCTAGGTGGCCTATGGTACGCCTGGAGCAGGAGCTTCCACGAGTGAAAGATGCTAAGTACTTTTCCACACTTGACATTGCGTCCGGATTTTGGACGATTCCCGTCCACGAATCGGACCAACACAAACTTGCCTTCTCCTTTGCCAACCGGCAGTACACCTTCACCCGGTGTCCTTTTGGTTATTCCAACTCACCTGCTGAGTTCAACATCTTCTTGAACAAAGCCTGCCCCGATGCTCGAGAGCGAGGGACCCTCATCTATGTCGACGACATTCTTGTTCGTAAGCGTACATTAGATGACCACCTGTCCGAACTGGACCATGTCATGGGTCAACTCGCGGCGGCAGGTGCAAAGATCTCTCTTGCCAAAGGACGACGGGTTCAGCCCGACACAGCCCCGGCTTGTACGAGCGACCAATATGTGCAGGACCTGAGAACTCACCTGCTTGCAGCATTCTTGTTCGCACAGGCATCTCTGGAGAAGTCGGCTGAAGGCAGAAAAACTTATTACGATAAGAAAGCCTCACATTCCGAACTCGAGGTGGGTGATGAGGCCTGGTACTACATTTTCGCTCCCAAAACGGGTGGCAATAAGGGCAGGCTGGCTAAGAAACTTTTGCCCAAATGGTCGGGTCCATACCTGATAACAGATAAGATCTCTCCGGTCGTGTATCAGATCAAGATCGCCGGCAGAAACAGGCCGCCCGTCTACAAATGGGTACACAGGGACCATATCAAACTGCACAAGGGTTCCGCAGATTTGGCCGATGACAACAACAATCTACCGACTTCAAAAGGGGGGTGAAAAATACGTCCCGTTGGTTCCACAGATTTCTATCTCAGATTACACAAATTTGTTTGTTTGTGAGTGTGCATGGTTGTCTTTCATGTTATACGTCATGTGCAGACTTAGGGTGTGTTGAGACGGACGTGCTGTGGGCTCCTGGAGTCAGGTAAACGGCCAGGTAACAGTAAGTGGGTTAGGCCACATAGTACTGTTGTCCAAATTATTATTTTTTTTTATCTTTACTAATCACAATTCCTTATGGGTACATTAACATGAAAGTGATTACTAACTACTGATTTACATTTTAGTACTGATTTACATTTCTGTTTTTCTATAGTATCTTTGAAGTTGATTTAAAAGTGATTGTTATGATTATCAAGTTGATTTATCTTACGGGCCATAACCAATTTTGCCCCTATCCTGACAGTGTGTATTTTCAGTGAGGATTCACTGATACCAGTTAGGGTTCTTTCATTTTCTGCTTTTCGCATCATCCTTTTTGTTTTTCTTCCCTAAGCGATGGACTGTGTCTACTGAGTCCTGTAGTTTTTCCACTGACACCGGGATTACTCTAGTGAGGATGCCGATCACAGTTCCTCTTGTATCCTCTTTGTTTTTTTCAGGGAGGCCCATCAGTTGAAGATCCCATCTGCTCTTGTAATGGGCTTGCTCCAAGCACAGCTGCTTCAGTGACTCATTTTCTTTTTTCATCAGCACCATTTCTTCCTTCATTTTACATATGTCTTCTTTAGTCTCTCTCACTGCTTGTGTGTTAGCTTCTATTCTACTTTCAAATGCTTTCAGTCTGTCATCTTGTTCATCAAATCTCTTTATCAGTAGTTGAATCGCATTTAGAATGTTTTCGTTGGTAATCTCACCTGACTCGCTCAACTCATCTTGCTTCTTTTGTTTCAGTTTTTGGGGTTTGGGCTGGGGAGTGGTGAGTGAATATGAAGCAATTTCCTGTTTTCTTCCTGCATTGCCTCTATTTCTTCAATTTCTTCTTCTTCACATGCTTCTTGCAAGGCCGTCAGGTTGTAGTCGTGGGCTGTTATCTTTTGAGCCTTAGCCGTTATGCTGCCTTTAGCCATCTTGCTCATGTTGTCGAAGGGAAAAAGAAAAAAACCAAAGAGGTAACGGTGGTCAGCCTTGAGAAAAATAACGTTCCGTGGGGCTCAGTGGTTGTTTATGCAGTTCTTTTTATTTTCTTTTTGTTTTTTAAGGTTAAAAGTCAAGGACAATTCCGTTTTAAAGTAGTGGTAACAGCCTCCTCAGAGTCTTACTCCACCCACATTTCATATTTGAAAAATGCGGCCCAAAGAGGCGTTTCCTGTAAGACCGAGAAGGCGGAGCTACGGCCGTGATTGACATACTGAAATTTGAATACAGATGGCGACGGAGAGCGACACTAGCTCAGAGCAGTCATTCGAGGTGGAGGACTTTTCCCCACCTTCTTCCCCAGAGGATAGGGAGGAGGGCTTATTGGGGGAAGCAAGCGGTCCTGAACCGTATCTTTTTGAGCCACTAGCTCGTGAGTTGTCAGAGGCCCCTGGAGTCGAGCCAGCAGGAGTATCAAGGCATCGAATGGGTCCAGTCTCTGAGTGGTAAGTAGCTTTTAGCCACAGCTAGCTATATTTAGCTTAGCTAAAAGTAATATTGTATGACTGCCTCGACAGGTGCACCTTTGGCCACTGCACATCATTGTCTGCCAGAGAAAATGTGTGCTGCAGAGAAACGCCCAAGGTATAAAAATAAAAGTACCCCACCATGAGAAAAGCATTCTGTAATGTACACATTTGTTACACAATCACTAACATCATACTAATATTGAACTCTTATAGACCTGATATCAGTTGTTCTTTGTCATAGGTAATGCTCAGGTGTCAGCAGGTGGGTGTAACCTCCTGCATAACAGAGCATCCTGGTTTTGAGGCTGTTGCTCTGAATCCCTACGTGTTGCAGGCAGTTTATGGCACCTTTCTGCAACTCTATGGGGAGATGCAGGAGACTACGCTCAACAGGTAAGACAACTGTCAAATTACTTTTTTTATGAATACTTTATAACTCATACCACCTCTTTCTCAGCTGTTACAGACATCTGGCGTACCGGAATGTGGTCAGGTGGTGTTGGGGTTACCTGGGACAGCACGTTCGTGTTGTGATCCCGTCATGCGCTGTCTCCAGAATAAGGCAGGAGTTCCCAGAAGACGGTGCATACAAAGGATTCCTCCCTCCTCTGAACTAATATATATTTTTTTGATTAAATAAATGTTATAATATATATTTCCTGTATTGATTCCTGTCCATAAAAAGCTGCATAAATCACAAAACGGTAAATGCACTTCTTTACACTTTGACATTATTTATATATACACACATATAGCCACATACTTTCAAATGAGCTCTTACAACAGTAAGGTTCTAATTCGGGGTTAATTAATGCTGCTGTAACAAGTGAGTTTACACCCTGTGTGATTAATGAAGTCTATTCTAGAGCAGGTTCAATTAGGTAAAAATGAATGATAATAAATGTGATATATGTATTTATACACATCAAAATATCAATATAATTGTATTTAAAAAGACACAATTGCGCTTTAAAGATAACATTTATTATAGCTACTACTAAGACAATGTTAGATAACAATCTGATCATAACTTTCAAGATTTTTGACAAAACTCTAAACCACAAGCAGAGATTCTGGAGCCATGTGAGGAGAGGTTGGGCCAACAGTGATGTTTCATAGGTTCCTTAGACTGGAGGTAGCTTTCACTGTGATGACAAACGTGGAGATGGATCCCGGGAGCACAGGTTTTTCTGTTACAAGATCAGGAGGCTCTAAGGAAAAAGTAATATTAGTATGACTAGTATGACTTACAAAAGCAAGACTGGTGAGTTTTGCTATGTTACATACGGCCAAGATTTTCAAGTTGTATGGGAGCCACAGAGCAGAAAGGTTGTAGAGATCAATAGACATCTGGGAGGTGGACAGCATGAGTCACGAGTGGATGAGCATAAAGATCCATAATGACGACAGGTAACTCCTCTGTCGTACAGTGGTGTGCAGCCTGGCTGAGGAGGAGAAAAGGAGAAACCACACAGAGTAGAGTACTAACTAATAATTACAATCTCTTGTTGTGTAGCTCACCTGACGTGCACTTTAAAACCAGGACCTGTGCCTGCTCACAGCATCCCGTTTATCTGGTCTTTGGAACTGGGCACAGAGCGGTTCTGGAACCGTAATTTTGTCCGAGTACTCCTGATATGGGAGAGGATCCACCACCACAGAGTCGAACAGCAGGTCCATAAGCTTGTGCACATATACTGGAAAAGGGTTTTCAGTATTACAATAGCTCTCCATGACCATCATTTTGGTTTTATCATACAATATATGACATACATGAGGTTGGATTGGTCTTCAGGGCTCTCACTGTGTAGTCTCCACGTTTGTACTTTGGGTACACTACAGCATATCTCAGCTCACCAGTTGCTGTTGCTGCATGTGAGCGTGCTGCATTTTCATTATAGTGCATTGCAGCAATTTGTAATCTGAAATAATCAAATAAACAAACCATGTAGATTTGAGGCAAAATTCTACATTTCATGCTAAAATTTGAACAATTAGAGGCATTAATTAGAACATTTGTTGTATTCATTACCTAGACAGCATTCCTTTGAAGGAGAAGACTTGACTTTTTGGAGTAAATCTGATGATGAGACTGTGGAAAGCCTCCAAGGTGGATGTGTGGTACTGAGGGCTTATCTTCTCTACGTCCTTCACAAACCGTGGAGCTAACAGAATGGCAGTGAGCTTCTCACATGATGCTGTGCCTACGTAGAAAATGTTAATTACAAAAATTACAATTTGATCAACTTTAGAATGTTGCTATTATTTCCATTGAGAAAAAGTTACCCATAGCTGACATTTTTAGATGACAAATGTATGAAAGAGTGACTAATAGTGCTGTAGACAGGTGTGGTCATTACTTACGGCATTTTAGTACATATTATGTCAATTATGGCTGTTCTGCCTAAAACCATGAGTTGTGTGGCGCACTCGTGTGTTTAAATTTCTGCACAGCATTTTATTCTTAGTAATTAATTGCTGTTGGCCAAATGGTGGTGTGTGACCTTAGCAGCTACATGTGATGTCTGTTACTCACATGCTCAAAAAATATTTCTCCATGTTGAAGGAGGTGAAGACAAATATTCTGTTGTGGGGTGACGTGTTTTAAATGTAAATAAACCAAACAGTAAAGGCTCAGCTGTAATGAGTACATGCTACACTTACTTGGTTTGAGCCACTGTCTTGCCTGTTCTCCATCCAGAGGTGCATGCAGACAGCTAGGGAACAGGGCGTTGTCATGGCTGTGCACATTTTGGATGTGGTTGGCAACTGAAGTCCACTTTGCAACTGCCTCCTGTCCTGAGGAGGAACTGGATGCTGACCAGTAGAGGTGGTTCACCACACTTTGCTTCCACAGTCTCACATCCTGGGTCGTCTTTCTCTTCCCCAGCTCTTCGATTTTCTTACCAATTCCTGGAGAGCCAAATAGACCCACATTTAAAATAGAAAAAAAAATCCTGTAATATTCACTATATACATCCCCAAAGATTACCTTTTCCCATGTGCCAGGGGTCAAAGTAGTGACTGATTTCCTTTTTTTCCTCCCTCAAATACTTCTGCACTCCTGTGTGGCGGTCAGTCACGACTTGCTGCACATCGACCCCCCTCTCCAAAAGTGTGCTCAGACTTCTCACAAATCCCTCCTTCTCCATTCGCACACTATTCCCAACTTCATTGCTCTGAAAATAAACATAATTCTCCATTGATCTGTGAATAATTAACCATGAAATGCATTGGAATCATCAGGTAATGTTGTACCTGTACAAGTTGGATATCAATAACTTTGTTTCTTTTGAGATCCATCATGGTGTAGCTGCCATATTTGGCTGAGTGTCCTTCAAGAAATGCAAGTTATTACTTAATTTACATTTGATAGCAAAGGAATAAAATAAATAAATTTAAACGTATTCACCAGGTGAATCAGCTCGCATGTCACCACCAAGAGTCACAGGTCCAGATTCAGTAGCCTCCTGGATGATATCAGCTTGCTCTAGCTGCCACTGCCAGCTCACTGTTGGAATTAAGAGCTTTGCCTGATGCCGACAGAATGACTGCTTGGACAGTCCCTGCACATTGAAGGCACCCAGGAACTAAAATATGAAAAGTTACGACATGAAATGAGAGACGCACAGACCTTATCAAAACTAACCTAAACAGTTTTGGCCTATACCTTAGAAATCTGGCTAAATGATGAGCCTGTGAAAAGGACAGCAGCACAGAGCTGGAGGTTTCCTGCTGGGATGCTGTTCACCATGGGCTGACTGGACCATTCATTGTAGTGCTCACAGCATGAACACCGTTGTGTCACACGGAGCAGTGTGCCGACTGTTGTCGTGTTCACAACACAACGACCGGTACAAACGGGACACCTTCTGAACAGCCCCAGCAACTGTTTCTCATGAACAATGTACTTCTTGTCCTTTTGTGGATGGACCTCAGTGAAAGAGCTGTATAGAACACATACATTTATATATATGGTCATAACTAAAAAATTCTAAAATGTTATAATTTTTTTTACCTTGAACAGTTCACTGAGCTTGCACTGTCATTGAGGTGGAAGCTGGGATCAACAACAGACACCTCATATCGTGGTCTTTTCAGGGGTGTGGACGCAGCTCTGGGACTTTGTGGAAGATGAATTTCCGTCACGGTCCCTGTGTCACAAGACACACTGCGGCTGGGAGCTCTAAACTGTGTGGCTATGTAAAATACAAAGAAGCAGCACATTTATAAATGTTTAAAATAGCATAAAATCACGTGTAACAATAATCTGTAAAACAAATTAAAACTAGAAGGTAATAATAAAATGTTTACATAGAAGATTATTAAAAATAATTCACCTTTGCTACGTCGATAAGGCTTTACATGAGCCTGGACAAGTGCATTTTTGCAGATTACTAAATCAGTCTGACAGCCAACGTCTTGGGTAGATTTAGCCTGAAACAAAAAATAGAAGCACATTGTTGTTGGAGTTTATAAAGTCATATAATATACAAAAGAAACTGTCCAATATATATATATATATATATATATATATATATATATATATATATATATATATATATATATATATATATATATATATATAGGCGCTTTATAACATTCCTAGTGTGTGATCGTTATTATAATGTCAAAGTCAGTCACATATGATGTGAAGAACCTGAAATGCGACCTCCTGAACAGAATTCCTCACAGAACCGGGTTAGGCTTTGGTGTAAAGCTGGATTTCACGCTGTAATGATGTCTGTCAACTAGTGCTGCGTTAGAGCCACTGTTGCTGAATTACCGACTGACACAAAAACAACCCGAATTTTCTCCGAGCCTGACAGAAATAGTCAAGTGGACCTTTTTTGTCGGCCAGGGCTTTGAGAAATGTTCCGATTCGCCGCTGATTCTAACCTTACATCCCGTTCCACATTTTGTGAACTTGACAAATTAGCCCGAAGGCAGTGCAGACTGATATTAGCTAAATGGAGTGAACCACGTCTCTCAAACTTTGCATTTAGGTAGGAAATTGTCTTTAGAAGATGCTAACTTTTATTTAGCTTACTCACCTCAGACTGGAGCCCGCCATGGTGGGGGAGCAGAGTCGGTGGGCTGCATCTAATTCGTGGAAGAGCCACGGTGGGCACGGCCTCCCTCTTCAAACGGAGACGTGCAGAATAACCCAGTTCAAACTCCATCATGTTGGCGAAGGAATCGCGGGTAAAATGCTGGTTGCAGACTACAGCACCAGGCGGGAGCTGACTGTTTTCCAGTACACCGATTGCGCGCAACCACTGGCGCCTAATTTCTAAGTCCAGTGGAAAGGAGTGCAACCCCACAGAGCCACCACAACCAACTACACTACACCTTTTAACCATACTAACACGATATGGAACACTAAACCTGAATTACTTTCCTAATAAAACTAACAGCTAAACACTAACTAAACTACAATATCTAACAGCCAAGCTAACACTAAATAAGTATGTATAACACTAAAAGCTATGCTAAAGACTAGAATATGCTAATGATATATGCTAACGATATGTAACACTAAACCTGAATTACTTTCCTAATAAAACTAACAGCTAAACACTAACTAAACTACAATATCTAACAGCCAAGCTAACACTAAATAAGTATGTATAACACTAAAAGCTATGCTAAAGACTAGAATATGCTAATGATATATGCTAATGCTGAACTACCGCTAACCGTCCTACACTCGCTTGCAAATCCAACTCCCAACTCGCCACAGGGCGTGGCCGAGACTCTCGTTGCTTTATAACTTTGGCACAAGAGCTGCTACGTAGTACTCTACTGGTTTACGTAGTATCTTACTCTTTAGCCATTGGCTAAAATTTATTCAAAATGTGTCAAATTCTGTGTTTTAAGCTGAAGGTGGCGCATTACTGTGGTTTTTAGGCTGAAAAATTAATTTTTAAAGAAAATGCACCAAAATGCTAAAATAATGAATACACACATTTAAAACACTATTAGACACTCATTTATACAGTTCATCAGCAAAAAAAAGTTAATTTAGACGTTACTTGCTCTTTAAATACCAGAGCCTGCAAAAGTGCTACCGCTCACTCCGCCATCTTAACTCCCCACCTCCCGGCGCTTCGGCGGCCGGTGTGTCCCCGGTGTAAGGCTCCTCCCTTTCCGGTCGGCTCATGAGGTCCCGGAAGAAGGAAAACATGAATGCAAGTCAACGGAGCTAAAAGAGTTATTTTCTGACCCGCTCAGCCTTAGACCTGGATCACACATATGTTGTACTGCAAATGAAAACTAATGATGGCTGTCTCCACAACGCCTTTCATTTACTTTGAGATTTGAAACAAAAAGGGGAGGGGCCGGAGCTCTCGGTTCAGTCTTATAATTTATTAGGTGTAAGAAAAAACTAACGTTTGGACAGAACGTCTTGGTCAGAGTTACAGGCCTTGATAGAATTACAGGCATATATAAACAGGTGTGCTGAGGCTGATTAGACCGAAAACATACTAGCCTTTAGCTCATTGGTTGTTGGGCTGGGGAAGAGGCGGGGTCAGCGCCAAAATATTAGAGTCAATAAGTATCCATTCAACCCAACCCAGAGTTATCCAAAAGATGACTTTCCTGCTCATCCATAACATAATGAGCCAAAAATAAATATTCTAAAGCAGTTAAAACACCTCATATCAAACATACAGAGATGTGTATAATAACCACGATGAAACACATCAAACTGATGCTAACGATAAAACAGTAAAACACCTGACTAGAGGAAGCAGGACAGACTAGGTGCTTCGTTCACCCCTGCAGGTTCAATGGTATCGAGGGTATGAATCCAGTATGCCTCTCTCCGTAGCAGAAGGCTGATCATGTGTCCCCCTCCAGAGGGTGTGGATACTTTTTCAATCCCCCAGAATCTTAAGGACGCCACGGATCCATGATTCACTTGTGCGCAATGGCAGAACCAAGGACGGTCTGGCCGTTTCCTGTTACTGTTGCTGCTGGAATGAAGGGCCGACAGCCAGAGTCTGAAATATTTGAACAGATTAGACATCGTTTGAAACCGCAGAACACAAATAAGTTTTAACTGATTAAATAATGACTTACAACACAACACCTTTGAATAATATATAACAAAGTGAAATTCCAGCAGAATAAAACTTGCCTGGTGTTCATGCCAGGGTCTGAGAACCTGTATGCTTAGGAGCAAATCTCAGGATGAGGGAGTGGAGCGACTCTAGTGAGGATGTCTGGTGCTGCGGGGACAGCTGCCTCAGAACCTTTGCATCCTGGCTGAAAGGCTGCTTTCTCCAGCGACTGCTGAAGTTGATCCTGTAGACAAACAAGACACATTTAGATAAACCACACATTAAATTTACTTCCGGGAAGTTGAACGTGTAGTTGAAACATCACGAGACCTGGAACTAGCCACTGCTTGTTCCTACTTTGTCCTTCCAGTGGAGGATGGAGATAACCTGGAAAGTCAGGTGTCTCGTGTTCATGGATGTCCTGAACATGACTCACAAGTGACTTCCATTTAGCCTCCATCATGTCAGGGTTACCATCAGGTGTGGCTGCAGTGGTCCGGTACAGATGGTTCACTATGGACTGAACTGTTCGGTGCCTTGTTGTCAACGACGCCATTCACTGTGTCCTCTGTCTTTTCTTTCCCTTTTGGACGCTAACTTCTTGTCTTTATTCACTAGCCTCATCCTACAGGCTACAGCTACACAAACATTAGCCCTTAGCAGCTCACCCAGATGCTAATGAGCTTCTCTTCACGAGGCTGAAGTTAGTTTCTGATTCAGGAAATGGCTAAAGGCCAATTACAGCCATTTTTCTCTACTCTGACCATCTTTCATCTGCTCTACCTCAAAGACTACAGCACATTCACTCTTCAAACCTGTGCTAGATTATTCTAGACCAGACCCTTTGAGATCCAGAGTGCAGACACTCCCATAGACTTCAGTAAAAAGAATGTAATGTGGAAGTAACGTCGGCCGTGGAGCTTCGGATACTTCCAAACACCAATAGTTCCACCATTGAACGCTGTTCATTCTCGGACTTTCAGAGCTCCGCCTCCAACAAAATAAGTCAATAGTGATTTTTCCTGTAGCCAGTTTTAGTTCATTTATCGTGTTAACCGGCTAATCGTAGTTTTAACTGCAGCTAGCTTATAGTTAGCGGCCTGTTTTAGTGGGTTAAACTAAAACTTATTCAGCAGTTTTAAACGTTTATGTTTAGAGTTGTGTAAATTATTCTGACATTTTTAGTTCAACATATATTCTATTAAGTCACGATTTTGTCCGTGTGTAAAGATCAGAGTGGTAGCGGAGCAACGAATCTTCATCAGACACGTTTTAACTTCCTTTGTCCCTGCTGCTCTGTAACTCGCTCCAACTCCAGTGACTAAACCATCTCAACTAGAGAAAAGCTGTTTTTATTCTGAGATGGCTGCTGCTAGTTTAGTTAGAGATGTAGATCTTTTAACAGACAGCAGCATAAATGAGATCATGAACATGAGTAATTATTTCATATGTTTCAGTTAAACCACCTGATGCTGACTTCTGTAACCTGCTGAAGCACGTTACACACTCAGGATCACCATGGTAACACCATGTGTCCTCCAGGATAACCAGGGCTGAATCAGGACATCTGAACAACAGAACCTTTACAGGTTGGTATTTACTGCAGGACTGTTCATCTGCATCTGTTTAATATCAGTAATCCATCATCTGAGCTCAAACTGGGATTAGAGCCTTTACTTGGAGACAGAACATTAAATTAGGATTTATTAATGATGAAATACCAGCATAAATAAGTAACTGTAGATCAGTAACTAAACAGTTACAGGCCACACCGCTGCCTTTGCATTCATGTCCATCTTCATGTTTCACAGGCTCTGATCATGAGTGGTGAGGAGCAACAACCAGGTTGGTGGAAGCTGCAGGTAAGGTCAGCGATGGAGTAAAAGCTGGTAGTGGACTGGTGGGTGATGGGGAGACTATCAAAATAAAATTCATATTAAAGTGATCAGGAGCTAATATTAGCACTGTAGCGTCTTTTCTGAGGTTTCCTGCAGATGTTAAGATTCTCTATGAATGTAAGAACTTTTATAGGATCACTGGTATTAAAATGAAAGGTAAGAGACCTAAAAACCCTCCAAACACACCACTCACCTGTACTGGTGCTGGAGCGTTGGTGGGGGTGTGCTTGTTGACATGCTAGATGCTGTTTTTACGGAGCCCGTCTGGTGACATTGAGGGGAAAAAAAAGAACTCGTGGCCACGACTTGTAAATGCACGAGTGTGTGTGTTCCAGAGATCGGCTTTCCTGAAATGATCTCTTAAAAGCCCCCAAATCATTAACTTTGAGCTAATATTAGGTTTTATCATAAGGTTGCTGATATTTATTTTAAAGAATAATAACCAGTTGTTTTACTTAATTAATCAGATCATCCAATAGCGCAGGTGATGCGTCTTTTCTTTCAGCCCCACAGACAAAGATAGTAGATAAAGTGTGTGTCCTCTGTTGTTGGTAGTGACTGACTTACTTTCATGTGTTTGAATGACTTATTGGTGTATTAATTGTGTCACGCGCGACTGCGCATCTGTGAACCAATAAACTGCACATAGCGGTCAGAGGCACACATGTGGGAGAACAGGAGTTCTGACAGAACACCGGCTCATTCCAGCGGGGTTAGCCGACAGGCGGGCTGATATCTGTTTGGTATGAAAAACATTTCCTGACTAAAACCCTTTTGGGTTCAAATGTTTGCGTTAGATCTGGAAAAGACAGCGATCTCTCCCAGCGCACCATGAGAATATTTATTATCTTAGGCTTCTGACCACTTTTTAAAAGCTGTTTATTTATCTATATTTGGTGATGTGGCGCTAGAAAACCATAAAACATATTTTCGTGCTCATACGTCACAAGCCAGTTCTTGGATTTCCCATCTCAGTTATGGATACCCGTGACATGCCGTCAATAGGCTGATTTTTTTCAGCACCATGGATAGCAGCGTCATACGTCGTGTCCTGTGTCAACGCCACTTGCTAAACCAGACGCCGGAAGACATTGGAAAATGTTACGAACCTCCGGCACGCCGGTCAGGGCGTGGCCGTAGAAGTGGGCAGAGCCACAGTCTGCGACAGGTGTGAAGGGATGCAGCTGAAGCACATCGGCAATCAGCGTCTGGAGGACATGAGGTTGCAACATTCTCATAGTCGTGATGCGCTCAGGCTTCAGTTTTGTCTTGCTTCTCTGACTAAATGATGTCATCATTGTTTTGGATAAACATACGCTTTAATTTATGTTTATTTACAACAGAAAATGACTTAATATGGAAGAACCGTGTGGGAATCGCTGTGAGGTTACAGAAAGATGTGAGGGAGCAGGAGGAGAAAAATGTCTGGGGATGGGGAGGAATGGCTGGTTGGACTTAAGCCCTCCAGGGAGCCGGCAGCCGGCTCCTCCACTGACTGTCTCCCTGACAGTGAAGCTAAACGAGACTTTATTAATTGTTTATTCCTAAACACTGACTGACTTATATTACAGCCGAAACAAATCTTCCTGGTATCAGGATCATGTCTCTGACCCTCCTCTCTAACTGGAGAGTTAGCTAACAAGCTAACATGCTGAAGAGAGGTTTTCTGGTTCCACCCTTTGAAGAGTTTTGGTTCACTATCATCAGAAATGCAGTTTTAGGTTAAATAAAGGTTCTAAGAACATTTAAAGAAGAAATAAATAGAAGAGCAGGAATAACACAGGAGGAATGAAGACAATAGCATTGACCTCTCTTGTACAGTGTTGTGTAGACGCTAATCTACATGTCTCTGCAGGCTGGGCCGGTTACACAGTCTCTGCAGGCTGGGCCGGAGCGGCCCTCAAAACCACCATCGGAACCGGAGACCATGGAGACGCCGGACAGGACGGAGGGTCGACCTCCTGAGTGCAGACAGCATCCTCAGATGAGCCGACTTCAGACGAGGCGACGTCGTCAGACGAGCCGACTTGGGAGGCGACGCCACCGGACGAGCCGACCTGGGAGGCGACGTCTTCGGACTAGCCGACTTCAGAGGAGGACGCGACGTCATCGGACGAGCCGACTTCAGAGGAGGAGGCGACGTCATCGGACGAGCCGACTTCAGAGGAGGGGGCGACGTCATCGGACGAGCCGACTTCAGAGGAGGGGGCGACGTCATCGGACGAGCCGACTTCGGAGGGGGGCGACGTCATCAAACGAGCCGACTTCGGAGGGGGCGTCATCAGACGAGCCGACTTCAGAGGAGGAGGCATCGGACGATCCGACTTCAGAGGAGGCGGCATCGGACGATCGTCTTCCGATGCGTCACCGGTGATCCTGGTGACGCATCGGCGTTAAAGGGTTAAAAACTAAATGAAAACAAAGTGCGTCAATCCTGACCAATGTGTTAAAAGATGTGCAGGATCCGATCAATTTGTTTTTCCCTCATTTACAGTCACGGACATAACGGCACACTGGCTCTGGTGTTAATCAAGTTAAATTTAATCTCTTTCCAACAATTTTCACAAGAAAACAGAACAGTTAAAAGCAGGGCTTGTGTTGTGTTGACCGGATATTTCCCGTATTTGACCGTTTATTTTGACGGAGAAAGAATAGAAAGAATACGCATGCAGACGAACTGACATTTTATTGCAGATGTAGCTAAATCACCTGAGAAAAGATTCCCATCTGAACATCTGAGCTGGACACTGCTCAGCGCAGCTCACTGTCAGCGCATACATAAGGTGCACAGCGAGCTGAAGATGTGGAGAGGAGCTTGGAGCGCATCGCAGAACCAGGGCGCATGCGGGAAGGTTCCTCCCACTGAAGCAAGTGTTTTCCTAACCCTGTCTCTCAGAGAGACTGTCAGAAAATGTTCCCTGATTATGAAACTTTGGCTGAATAGTGCTTGTTCCTGTCTCCAATGTGGCAACGCATCCCTGAGCCTGTCTGAGGAGAAGCCCAGAATCTCACATCCTCTTCAGCTCAGAAAATGCCAATTATGAAAAAGCGTGACCTGTCAACCCGGTCTCACAGTAAGACCGGGTTGGAACTGTTCAGGTTTACGCAGACAATCTTTACATTTAGAATTGACTTACAGATATAAAATTAATTCAGTAAAATATAAAGCATTTTATTTAAATATCCATTCATTATTTTACAAGCACAGAGAGCCACACCAGGATGGATGGAAGAGCCGCGGGTTGCCGACCCCTGGTATAGCCTATAAAATGACATGTTTTCTCCAGGACCACAGAGGACACAAACTCAATACATGTCTTTTATTGTGAGGTAATAATTTCTCAGAGTTTTGCGGTTGCGGGCGGGAGTAGACATGCACACAGCGGGTGCGGGCGGGAGTATAACACACGTTGCGGTTGTAATGGTCAAAAATTCAGCGGGAGTGGGCAGGAGCGGGATATTTAATAAAGATAATTAAGAAAGTGACACAACATGAAAATGTACTCTGTTGTGAACACAGATGACTTAATGAGGCGAGGAGGAAGCTCCCTCTTGCTGAGGAGCAGACAGACCTCCAGTCTGAGGCGGAAGCCATTGAAAGGCCTCAAAGAAGAATTAAGTAAGAATTTTGTGAACTTTCCATTCCTCCACCTCTTGGGCCTGTGTTGAATTTGCACTCATTAACTTAAAATAAATGTTTAATTCAGAATAAATGTTGTCTTGTGTGTTCATTTCCAAAGGCCAAGCATATGTCCAGGACCGGGCCTCATCAGAGGATGAAGCCCAGACCCCTGGAAGAGGGCTTCCCCCACCCCCAGCCATCCCCCCAGTGAGGAGAAGGTTCATCCTCCCCAATACAATAACCTGTACCTCTGCCTGACCTGACCAATTACCAGGTAATGGAAATCTCAACAAATACCACAGTAACGTATGTATAGCAAATGGGTTTGAGTGTAGCTGATCATGTAAGTGTGGTGTTTCAAATGTGATACATTAGGAAATTTACAAAGGTTAATGAGGCAGTTACATGGAGAAAAACAATTCTGGAGCCATTACGTCACTGTTGAGGTCAATAATTGCATTTTGTAAACTGTTGTTCTTCTTCCTGTCCCTCTTCTACACACTCTTCCAGCATGTCATGACCCTGGGGACATCATTGCGGCAGGCCATTGACCTGCAGGGTCACCAGGGAACCCAGGGGGTTCCAGTTCCAACTCCCTCTTCATCTGGTGGGATGATGAGGGAGGAACCGGCTCTCCAGGTGCCTACAGTTTGCCCCAACTCCTCTCCAGGGCAGTGGCAGCAGAGGGATGACATGACATGTAAGGTTATTATGGTTTACACTCACCCAGTCCTCACATGCCAGTTACAGTATACAAACACATGATCCACACATACATACTAATATAAGATGGTTTATAAAGCTAAACACACACACACACACACACACACAGAGAGAGAGAGAGAGAGAGAGAGAGTCTGAATGGAAAAGAATATGTTTATGTATTTAGCAGATGCTTTTGTCCAAAGTGACTTACAAGTGATAATCGGCATGTTGCCCTTGAGGCTAACAACAACAATAACAACTTGACATCAATCATGGAGAGGAGGGAACAAGGAGTGGACAGTAGAGAGGGGGGACGGGTGCAGGGAGGGTGCTAAGATGCTCTCTGAAGAGCAGGGTCTTCAGGAGTTTCTTGAAAATTGAAAAGGAAGCTCCTGTTCTGGTAGTGCTTGGAAGATCATTCCACATTTGTGGAACGATGCATGAGAAAAGTCTGGATTGTCCTGAGCGTGGTGTAGGCACTGCTAGCCAACGATCCTGTGATGACCGGAGCGGCCGGGCCGAGACGTAAGCCTTTGCAAGAGGATTCAGGTAGATGGGAGCCGTACCGTCTCGGACTTTGTATGCTAGTGTTAGCAATTTGAATTTGATGTAAATGCAAAAAATGCTTAAACTATGTTGTTTCTTTGTGTCTGAAATGCTTTTCAGCTCTCCTGCATGAAGTCCTGGTGAAACAGGAAATAATCCTTCAGCAGCAGCGCGGCCTCACCAAAATGGTGCAGGACCTTTTGTTGCTGTTGCTGCTCTTCAGGGCCTGACCACAGGGGGAAGTGTGGAGACCAGGCACCATGGCATCTACCCCTTGGCAGATGTTCAGGCCCTGATGGCCCTGGAGAGGGAGCTTGGAATCAGTCCAACATTGGCCCATGAATTGGTGAGCTTTTTTCTGTTCTTTACAACAAAGTTTTGGACAATGCATTTTGGCATGCACATCCAATTTATGTGTTGTTCAATATCTTAAAGTGGTAGATATGCCAAAGGAGTTAAAGGACTGCTTGTGCAGTCAACGAGCTACACCCAATTATTCCCCCCCCCACACACACACACACGTTTCAGGTCTCTGCCCTTCATCAGGCAACCATGTAAAGCCAAATAAATAAATAGTGGCGCACAATGGCTATCCAGGCTGTTCTTTAATTTTGTATAATATTTGTTTGAAAATTCAATGAAAATCAATCATTGTTTAAAAAATTAATGAAGATCAATTTTTCTAATTTTAGGGTTCAACACTCGGCCTTGCGGGGGGGTCCACAGTTAAGGACACGGTGTGGCGGGTCCTCAAAGGAGCCATGACTAATGCCCTCGCCGAGGGCAAAATGGGAAGGTGGCCTTTGAGAGGCTCCACCTAAAAGGCATTGTAATTGGTAAGTTTAATCACATCAGTAACACGACTGTTCTATCACACAGCTGATAAAATTATAGTTTAGGATAAAATTATTAGCCACCCATGACAATCACATTTCTTTTCAAAGTCAAAATACTTATAGTCTTAACAACTCATTTGCGAAATGGCACGCAGTGCGCCTGTGAATATCTCGTAATTATAACACCACGCTATCGCTGGCTTCAAGACAGCTATTGCCACTTTGCCCGCAATGTGACGCGTTCTTCAGGGTCAACTCTCGCTCGTGAAATTCTTGTTTGGTTTTAGTGTCAGGAAAGAACCGCTGGTTTGTGTTTGGTAAACTGTGTTTGGTAAAGTAAACTGTGGCAGTGTAAGTACTAAGTGACTATGATGATTTAATGTTGTAACTTTGGCTGTCACTTTCAACCCCATATGACGAGATGCATCCATTAACTAATGCAAAACTGACTTTTTAACTAGCCAGTTACTTAGCCCACCACAGGTCTCTTTTGCATGGACTGTTGCGTCGTCCTTTTCTAAGTCTTTCTCCATGTGTATGCCTTTATTTTCAGCTGCAGTGAGAAGGAATCCAGTCTGTGTGGTGTCTACAGAGGCATAAATTGTAAATACAATTAAAAAATGGTTCTACTGGGCTGGGGATGGGGACGGAGGGCGCAAAAGGAGAATGCCCACCCAACCAACCCCTCAACCAGCCCAGGACTCAGTCCAGGACTGACCTTTACAAAAATAAATAAATAAAATATTCAAATTTTACTCTTGTTTGGTTTCATGTTTATGCACCTCGTACACACAGTAACCTAGGCTATTTCACAAGGCTATTTAACTGAGGCACAACATCTGAATCTTCTGTACAAGGACATTTTATGGTCTATTAAAATGTTAAATTAAATTTAGCATAAGGTTCAGAATAAAATATAATCTTTTGGTAAATGTATGGCTAATTATGGATAAGTTATGGTTCATATTTGGCTTTATTATGGGATTTTGGGATGGTTATGGCTATGCTTTGGAAAGCCACATTTTATTTTGGGTGATCTTTTGGCAAACTTATGGTTACACTTTGATATCCTTTGGCCATTTTGTGGGGTTTTGAGGTTCTTTTGGTATAGTTATGGTTGTGCTTTGGAATTCCACAATTTATTTTGGAAGAATTCTGGCAACCTTTTGACAATCCATAATTCTATTTTGACGTGCCTTATTTGGGCCATGTCTGGCCCATCATTCCACCCAAAAGAGTACCCAAACTGGCATGCCAAACTAGTGCCAAAAATGATTCTGGCAACCTTTTGACAATCCATAATTCTATTTTGGCGTGCCTTATTTGGGCCATATATGGCCCATCATTCCATCCAAAAGAGTACCAAGACTGGCTTGCCAAACTAGGGCCAAAAACAATTTGCTATCTGGGCAGACGTTGGCCCATGTCGCTCTTGTGCAACATGTTAGATGTGAGCGCCTACAATGCCTGGTCCCGTGGCTGTCTGGAACCGGCCTGGAACCAGCAGAAGAGGAGCATCTGGAGCTCCATGGTGAGACCAGCCCAGGCGAGGTGCACTCGCTTGCCGCGGTCCAGCAGTGCTGGAGCTTTGTTGCAGGTGCAGCACCAGCCCAGGAGCAGACAAAGAAAAATGCCACCTTTGCAGAGGGAAGAGGAGCGTGCATGCATGCTTTTGCCAAGCATGTGGACAGGCTGTGTGCAAGGAGCACTCAACAGTTGTGTGCTCAGCCTGCAGCTGTTAGCTCACTCCCCTCTGTGTTTCTCTCTCTCTCTCTCTCTCTCTCTCTCTCTCTCTCTCTCTCTCTCTCTCTCTCTCTCTCTCTCCTCTCTCTCTCTCTCTCTCTCTCTCTCTCTCTCTCTCTCTCTCTCTCTCTCTCTCTCTCTCTCTCTCTCTCTCTCTCTCTCTCTCTCTCTCTCTCTCTCTCTTCTCTCTCTCTCTCTCCTCTCTCTCTCTCTCTCTCTCTCTCTCTCTCTCTCTCACACTCACTCACTCACTCACTCACTCACTCACACACACACACACACACACACACACACACACACACACACTTTTTCTTTGTTCGTGTGCTTTAATAAAGTGTTCAACTGGTTATCTTTGTAAGTGCATTTTTTTGTGCTCTAATGACTTTAACGTGAGTATTTTAGAAAATATGACATTACACAAAAACTACAAAGTGAGCAAAAAATATTTTTATGCCTATTTGTGACACTCCAAGGCTGTGACAACTTACCCACAAAAAAGGTCATCTGGACATAAGACACAAAAAATGATTTGATTTTTTCATTTTTTGTACAGTTTTCAAACTTCAGGTTTTGCTAATAAACCTGGCAATAAAGGGGTTAAATCTGAGAAACACACACATATTTTATTATATTTTGTTAGGGCTGAAGCCAAGGATGAAATTCATGTAAAAAAATTGGGACTTATGAAATATTATATAATATTTCTAAAGGAAGCTTTCTAAGTGCATTTTTTTGTGCTCTAATGAATGAATGAATGAATGAATGAATGATCAATTTATTCAGTCAGTTATCTTAAGATAATGTACATTAACATGTCATACAATTAGATATAAATACCATTTCTCACTAACATATGCCTTGTTTTTTTATATGGTGTCTATTTGGTATATCATGACTGAATAGGTTTAGGCAGAAGCAATAGCTTATATAATTGCCTAACCTACTTACAAAACATTTTTTTAATTTCCCGCAATGAACCAACAACCCAAATAAAAGTAAAACACAAATCCATCCATCAACATCAAATTAATACTCTTCAAAAATGTTTTTACTGATAAGTTTTTTAAGAACTGAAAGAGAAGTTGCTAATTTTAATTCTATTTTAGCCTCATTCCAAAATTTTACTCCCATTACAGAGATACATCTCCTTTTCATGCCCTTTTTGGCTTTTTGTAGAACAAACATACATTCACCTCTTAAATCATATTTACTTTCCCTCTTTGCAAAGAACATTAGTATATTTTTTGGCAGAGCTGTTAATTTTACTCTAAACATAAATTGCATTATTTTATAATAATATAGATCTTCTAATTTCATAATCTGTGATTTTAAAAACAACGGGTCAGTATGAGCATAATAATTGCTCTTGTTCATAACTCGAATAGATTTCTTTTGTATAGTTTTTATTTCATGTATATATGTTTTAAAAGTTGAACCCCATATTTCTATACAATATGCCATGTATGGTTGTATTAGTGAACAGTATATTAGACGTAAGGCCTTATGGTTTAGTATGTCCTTCAGCTTATATAATAGACCCAAAGATTTGGCAATTTTTCCTTTTATGTAATTTAAATGATGCTTCCAGGATAAGTTAGAGTCAATCACAACACCAAGAAATTTTATTTCAGACACTCTTTCAATTTCAGTATCTGAAATTGTTAATTTAAAGTCCCCATTTTTTACCTTCTTAATTCCAAAAATCATAAATTTAGTCTTTTTTATATTCAGTGATAGTTTATTTACATCAAACCAAGATTTGAGGATATTTAACTCTTTTTCGGCCTTCTTTAAAAGTTCTTTTATATCTTTACCTGAACAAACTAAAGTTGTATCATCTGCAAACATTATGAATTTGAAAAAATCTGCCACGTTACATATGTCATTTATATATAAAGTAAATAATATAGGACCTATTACTGAACCTTGTGGAACTCCACAACTTATTTCTCTAAATCCAGATTTTATATCTTTAATTTGTACATACTGTTGTCTGTCTTGTAAGTAACTCTCTATCCAGGACTTCGCTATTCCTCGTAGGCCATAATTTTCCATCTTCAATAATCTCCTGTGGTCAATGGTGTCAAAAGCCTTCTTTAAATCAACAAATATGCTAATAGAGAGTTCTTCGCTTTCACTTGCTTGGGCTATTTCTTCTACCATCTGCATTATCGCATAGGTAGTGGTTCTGTTTTTTTCGAAATCCATATTGACTGTCACTTAATAATTTATTTTTAGTAATATATACATCTAGCTGGTTCACAAATAATTTCTCGAGTATTTTTGAAAATTGTGGAATAATTGCTATTGGCCTATAGTTTTCCATTAAATGCTTATTTCCAGTTTTAAATGTTGGGATCACTTTTGTTATCTTCATAGTTTTAGGAAAATGACCTTTATGTAGTGATAGGTTATATATATATGTCAATGGTCTCACAATAGAGAATATAACTTCTTTTATAATTCACATATCAATTTCATTTATATCTGTGGATTTTTTGTTTTTAAATTTTCTTACTGTACTTACAACGTCAGTCTCACTTATCTCATGTAAAAACATTGAGTTGATATTACTATTTATCAGATTATTAAATGTATCTGCATCAGGTGGGACTGCTATCTCATTTGCTAATGAGGGCCCGACGCTTACAAAAAAATTTGTTAAATTCTTCCACTATATTTATTAGATCATTTACTTTATGATTTGAACTATTTAGAAAGTAGTTTGGCCATTCCAAAGTTGTCATCCTTTTTTGAATTATATTATTTAATATTTTCCACGTCCTACGAGTATCGTTTCTGTTTTTATCTAAAATTTCATCATAATATTGCTTCTTTCTGATCCTAATAGCTGTAGTTAATTTATTCTTATATTTTTTGTAATTGTCTTCATTTGCACTTGTCCTATGTTTGATGAATTTTTCATATAATACCATTTTCTTTTTACATGCCTTTAACAGACCTTCTGTCATCCACAGCTTTCTTTTATAATTTTTCTTTGTCTTATATTGTATAATAGGGCAATTTTTATTATATACCTCTAAGAATATTGACAGAAATGTATCATATGCTTGGTTTGTATCGTCTACATACACCTGATCCCAATTGTAATTCAAGAGTTCTGCTTTGAATGCCTCAATTCTTTCTGCTGTCTTCCATCTCACCAATATAGTGGAATCATCATCCTCCTTGTGTAGGGGTATAAAAATGTCCATATTTGAAATTGTAAAAACAGGAAGGTGGTCGCTAATATCATTTATTAGCAAACCACTTGTGGATTGACCATAAACATTTGTAAATATATTATCAATTAATGTGGCACTATCTTTAGTTATCCTACTTGGCCTATCAATCATAGGCCAGAGACCAAAATTAAACATCATATTCAAAAAATCTAAGGTTAACTTATGTTCCTCCCATTTGATCAAGTCAATATTAAAATCACCACAAACAAATACATGTTTCTTAGCACAAATCCTTTGCAATATATCAGCAGTATTTTGTATAAATGTTTCAACACAAGAACCTGGTGTTCTATACATGCAACTCAAAATAATTCTTTTCCTTTTGGTGAAACTGATTTCTATTATTATACTCTCCATAATGTCATCAATAACTGTACTATCAATTACTTTACAGTCAATATGCTTCTGTACATAAAAGGCAACACCCCCACCTTTCTTATTATTCCTATTTACGTTAAACATCTTATAACCCTCCAATTCAAGGCATGAATCTGTTTCATTTGTAAGCCAAGTCTCACTAATTGCAATAATTTGAAACTTATATTTGAGTGAACTTAACAAATCTTTAATTTGAGTAAAATGTGTATGGAGACTTCTGCTGTTAAAATGTATGATAGAGAGTCCTTCTATTTTAAGTTTGCTTAACTCTTCTTCATAATAATATTCTGATTTCGAGTTGTTTAGATTGTAAAAATTTACCTCTGGATCAATATTATTTTCAAAACCAAATAATTTCTGGTCAGATATATTTGACCCTTTTAGGCTTAATTTTGTCTGCATTTCTTAATTTTCTGATTGTCATTTCCATTTTTAGATGTTTAACATCCAGTAAAACATGTTTTCCAGTCAAACATGATCTTCATAACACTGAAGCACTTGGGCTACCTGATCCTCCCTTGTGGTGTCCTCCTCAGGGGCTTCATCCTCACGTTGTAAATGTTTAGCTGTAGTTCTTAGATGACTTTGATGCCTTGTTTCCAGCCCAGTATTTTGTAGATCCATGTCTTTATAGACTTCTGTTCTTTGTTTCAGTCTTCCAGTCTTTTGATCCATGAGATTATTTTGTTGCATTGTCTCTATATTCATTTCCACCCACCAGAAAATGTGTGATATCCTTTTTCTGTCCAGCTCCATTTCCAAGCTAGCTGTTTCTTGATGATGGTAATATGGTATCCCCTTCTTCAGAACCAAAGTGTTATGAAAAAAAAATAATAATAATAAAAAAAAAGGGTAGTGGAAACAACGAAAATGTAACCATATGTAACCATATGTTGTCCAGTTTTTAGCAAACAACATTGTAATCTTTTTAGGCTTTTGTTCTTTATCTTCTTCATCTGTATTGCTCCATCTCCTGGAGGCTTCTAACCATAACCACTTTTGCTTGTTCAGGTGATCCATTTAGCTTTACAAACACTCTTCCATTTCTCACCCATGTTGCTTGAATTTTCTTTTGTTTCATTAGTATCCGGCCAGTTCTGGCTATTTCAGCATTTTTTTTGGTCAAGTGTTCGTTTACATAAACACCAGAACCCTTTAGCTTTCTAGATTGACTCAATATATCAATCTTCTGCTTTCTGTTTACAAGCTGTACCACAATTGATGACTTGTTTCTGTTATCCTTTCTTGGAATAGTGTAGCAAGCTGAGATGTGCTCTTTATTTAGGTTAATCTTCTTGACGCTGAAGAACTGAACAACCTGTTCCTCCAGTGTGTGTAGCTCTTCAGGTGGTGCCTCCTCACCTTCTTGATATCCCGCTGTAGCTCTTGCATAACTGCGATGCTTAGTTGCCAGCCCAGTGATGAGTATATCATTTGCTCGAGCATTTTGTTCCAAGTCATCAATTCTTTGTTCCATCCTCTCAATCTTCTGATCCTTCTGTTTGATTGAGGCCTTCAGTTCCTGTAGCTCCTCCATTAGGCCCATGAGGTTAGCCTGTTGTTTAGCAACCTTGCTAATTTCTCCAGACAAAAAGTTCAAGGATTTTTTAATTTCTTCCAGCTCTTCTGCCAATTTTTTGGCTGTAGCCATCTTTTGCCGATCTTGTTATTCGTCTTTTTAGACAGATTTCATTTCATTCTTGAAGGAAATTTAGAGGATTTCCTGAGACATGAAAGTCATGCAGGCACCCCCTTGTCAGCCAATGACTTTAACGTGAGTATTTTAGAAAATATGACATTACACAAAAACTACAAAGTGAGCAAAAAATATTTTTATGCCTATTTGTGACACTCCAAGGCTGTGACAACTTACCCACAAAAAAGGTCATCTGGACATAACACACAAAAAATGATTTGATTTTTTCATTTTTGTACAGTTTTCAAACTTCAGGTTTTGCTAATAAACCTGGCAATAAAGGGGTTAAATCTGAGAAACACACACATATTTTATTATATTTTGTTAGGGCTGAAGCCAAGGATGAAATTCATGTAAAAAAATTGGGACTTATGAAATATTATATAATATTTCTAAAGGAAGCTTTCTAAGTGCATTTTTGTGCTCTAATGACTTTAACGTTAGAAAATTTAAACGTTGGGTAAGGGTTAACTGCTAAACTTCTATTAACTTCTAAACTTCCACCTTAAGGGAGTAAGGCTCCTAATGCCCATTGTTTTCTGGTTCATCTTAATATTTTGGCTTCTTCTACAAATCTGTTCTCCTACCAGAGAGGGTTAACAAGTCCCAGGCTCTGTAACTATTTCAGGGGTTCACTGTGGTTTAACAACTAATTTTCTCCTGTTGGTGGTTAAGGTGGAGGGCTTTGTGGTGGCAGGTGGACGAGGCTGTAGGGTCTGGGGAGGAAACGTCCTTTTTGATCCCGATGGAGATGTTCCAGAATCCTTCCCATCCACCGTCTTCTTTACAACTGCAGGTCTGATCTGTCTGCTTTAATCGGCGGGCTTTTGGGTGACAGGGGCACGAATTAGTGATGCGAGTTGAACCTGCTCATCTTCTGATACGACTGGCAACTTTACAGACCTCTCAAATCTGTTGTTTGCCCTTACGTTGTCTCCTAATTTCATCCTCAGTCTGCTTGTGTTGGTGGACTTTGGGACTATAGGTGGCAGTTTTACAGTAGAGCGTTTGTCTGCCACGATTTCTGCTAAAAATGATGTCTTCTGTGTGACTAAGTTTATGGGAGCTTGGGAGACAGCAGGAGAAGTTTCTGTTACTGGTGACGAATCCTTTAAAAGCGGCTTGTCCACACTTTTATTTGGCAGCTTTGTCCTCTGAATGGTTAAGTTGGGCTTAGTGGTGACAGGAGGAACAGCCCTTGGAAGCATGGACTTTTTTAGTAGTGGTAATTTAACAGATTTCTGCTCATCCAACGTCTCACTTGCATCTTCATCTGAGCTCTGACTGGTTAAGCTGGAGGGCTTAGCAGCGACAGGAGGAACAGCCCTTTTCATCTTTGGAAGCATGGACTTTCTAGATGATTTTACTGATATCTGCTTGTCCTCTGTATGATTTGTCCTCTGACTGGTTACGCTGGGCTTTGTGGCAACCGGAGGACCAGCCTGTTTAATCTGTGGATCCATATCGTTACATCTGGTTCGTTCCTTATCCTGTAATCCATCATAGCCGAGCCACTCATACAAATTTTCAATGTCGTCCTGCATCGAATCTAAACTATCCTCCTCCGTGTGCATGATCGAATCCTTATTTTTCTGGGAAACATAACAGGCACGAATCAGTTCCAAAATTTCTGGGTTCTTTTCTTTTTTCACTTCTACTTTAGGTTTCTTTTTGTCTTCCATTTGTTTCAGTTGTACATAATAGGGTAGATCTTTCCAATTATGTCTCCCAAAGACACCGATGTTCTCACCGCAGTATGTCCACAGTGTCAGATTCTGGTCGTGACTTGCAGTAATAACTCTCTGATCAGCAGAAAAATATATAATACTGACCAACATGCTAACTCCAGCATTCCAAGCTCTTACCAGCGGAGGCGGAGAAACGCTGCGTTCATTGTTGGTTTTCACCTCAACACAAAACTTGTTGATATCCCAAATGCAAACTTTCCCAGTGCTGTCACCGGTCAGTAAAGTTGCATTTCCTTCATCAACCGTCATGCATGTGATCGTGGCCCTGTTCTTTTCTGTTGCTTCAAATTTCCCCACCACTCCGCTGCTAGCTGTAGTTGACAAGGCATAAATGTAGCCGTCTACTGCCATCAGCAGTGTGGCTGCACCTTTACTCCCATCTCTTGCCCTCAGAGACACTATAGGGCCTATATGAAATGTGTCTTTGCCCTCTGGTTTACACTCACCGTCTCTGATGAGTTTGTCTCTGGAACAGGGTTGCAGGCTCAGCTTTAAACAGATTGGCTCAACCGCTTCCTTTCTAGAAGTTTGGTTGCTTTCCAAATTATTCTCATGTTCAAATGCGTTTAAATCCCACACAACAACACTTCCACCACTGGATATTGCGATCAGTTTATCTCCATGGAACTCCATCTTGCAAACATCTTCTAAAAACCTATGCTCCAAGTACGTCTTCTTATACCCTCTATAATCCACAATCAAAATGTTGTTTGACTTCTTCACAGAGATAAACATTTTGCCTTTTCTGCAGACAATGCATGTTGCTTGATTTGGCAGTTTAACTTCACGAGCAGTAATCTCTTGCCCGCTGTAAAAGTTCCACAGTCTGACTGTCAGATCGTCAGACATCGTGATGATTTTGCGACCAGAATCATCGAACGTGAGGATGGTTTGCCCCACAGGTTTATCTGGTCTGGTGCTGAACTGCATGACAGCCTCTCCAGTCAGTAAATCCCATGTCTTCACTTCACCTTTCTGGCAAATAGAGAGAACCTGGTTGAAAGCGCTGTCGTAGAGCGCTCCACACAGCGGCATGTTGTGTGATGTCATCGTTTCTTGATAAAGATTGGTCCCTCTTCCCAACGTCTTTGCCATGTCTGTATTACTGACTATTAACTCGTTGTTGTAAGTGTTCAGATACACAGACGTGATTGGGTCACGCTTCAGGTGATCCGCTCTGAAACTCTGCTTGCAGACCCAATCATATTCAGACCAGACACACATATTTTGGTCTGCAGACACACTAATAATTACCTGTTCTCTAGGATTATGTAGGAGGTGGGAGATTCTTGCAGTATGCTTTTGTAGAGTACGAATCAACTTACCACTGCCGTCATTCTTCCACAACCGCAATTTTCCGTCTTCACCGCCCGTCACGATGCAGTTATACACTGCGGTATACGTTGCACAGATGAACAAACCAATCTTACCTGTAGACTCATATGTTTGGATTGTGTACTGGGGTTTTGAAGTACTGAGCTTCTTCGAGAACTTAACCTGAATCGTCCTTTTCGCGGACAGTCCACAAACCAAAAATGAATTAATCTGTGGATAAAACTGCACATTAGAACACCAGTCATTAAAAACGTTAAGTTTGAAATATAGAAAGTCTGTGTCTGTGTTCTGTAACAGGGAGGACACTCGTATGGTGGGATAAGGCCTTAAAGATACGCTTTCAAACATGTTTTTGCTGAACAGACCGTGTTCAACGACTTTAGAGAAAAGTATATAAATATTTCCCATTTTATCACCCAATGAAAGCATGCCTTTCCTAACAGAATAATAATATGACATGGTGGTAAATTCCTCATCCAGTAAACAGTATTTTATCTTGAATTGTTTGTGAAGGTCTTTGCAGTCATAAAAATACACCTCCCTCTGAGCTGTGCAGACCGCTAACTCTGAAATCTCCGGTATATAAAGCATATCATGTACAATCATCTGTTGATCACTGCAACAATCTTTCATGGTTTCTTTGTTTTTGAGAGCAAATGTTTTTGCATTTTTAAAACTATCTGTCCAAACTTTTAACGTTCCGTCGAGGCAGATTGTAAAGTATTCACAGTCCTGATAATTCCTGACTTCATTTAGGAAGTCTAAATCCCAAAATGGATTCACTGGACGATGAGTCATTTTCACAACTCTTCTTGAGGTCCCTAGTGGAATCGGTTCAAACCTTCCTGGGAAAAGCGTTTTGCATCTCATTTTTTCCTCATTCTCACTTTTTACACGGCCAAAAGTCAAGGATTTGTCCAAAAACAATTCTTCATTATGTTCTCGGCTTAAACCATAATCCAGTTCATTTATGTCACAAGTTTGCTCTGCATTCACTCCCCTAACATTTCTGTCAAGTTTGTCGCTCGTCTCCCGTTTTTCGATACGTTTGTAAACGTTTTTACAGGCTAATTCCAGAGCTTTAATTTGATTAAAAAGCTGCTTATTCGTAAATTTAAAATCGAACTCCTGACAAAACTCCACAACGCTAAACATCTTGTCTGTTGAGCTGAATTCAACCGTTTGTCCTGTCGAGTCGCCTGTGAAACACTTTGTGACGTCACAAAGGCGTGACGCTAGGTAGGCTTAAAAGGGCATAAAAGGGGCGCGTGGCGCATGCGCGGCCAGCTCACGCAGCGCAGCAGTCAGGAGGGGAGAAGGGTCTGGCGAGAAGGGTCTGGCAGCGGCCGCTGTGGAGCTCCACAGCAACCGGAAACACGTGACCTACACAGTAGCCGGAAGAACGTGACCACCACAATGGCAATAAAGGCTGTGTCCGAATCCAGAGGTAGGATGCTTGTGAGTACGGGTCCTCGCCGGTCTAGCAAGACCGCTAAAACCGGAAGTCAGCGGCTCTGAATTCGGACAGTACTAGCCTCGTTTTTATTCCCGCCCCCAGGTCCAGTTGCTTAGCTACTGTGACAGCGTCAAACAGGCTAACAAGCTAACAAGCTAGTCAGAGGTGAAAATGGATCCACAGCAGTATTCCCTTTTATTTTTGGTTTTTGAGGAGCTGCGACTGCTTAGTAAACGTCACCGGCCTTTGTATTTAAGGCTGAGAAGCAGCCATATCCAGGTAAAATTATTTTTGTTTAGTGAACCAGCTTTCAGGCATTACATGTTAACTTTAGTGCTAGTTTCATTTATATTTTAAGCAACAGAAAGACATGTGGCTGAATACACACATTAGTATAGAGTAGACTAACATGCATATAGTTAATTTAACCTATATTCATCTAAAATAATTAATGGAATGACATTTTAGAAGTTTGTATTTGATCATAATGCTTGGTTCTGTGCATAAATTTCATATTAAAAGTAGCATTACAATGTGTTTAATGTGTATTGTCCTTTTCAACTTATGCCTAATAATGCCTAGCTTTCTTCTAAAAATCTCAAGCATTTATACAGGTTTTAAAAAAAATTGTTTTATTGTTCTCTACTTTTAACAGAACAGACCCCTGTACTGTAGGATAAACATGAGTGTGCCAGTCCTGGACCGTTTTTTTAACCAGGAAGATCCCAGGCCAGATTTTCGTCTGAGCAGGGAGTCTTTTGTGGTGTTGCTAAATCTCCTGAACCAAGATCGGCGACATGGTTGGGGTGCCACAATCGAGACCCTGGTGTTTCTGTTCTGGTTGGCAAGTGGAACATCCTACAGGGTGGTCTCAAGAGTATTTGGGATGCCTCGCTCAACTGTCCACGACATCGTCCATCGAGTCATGGAGGATGTGGTTGCAATCCTCCACCAGGTCATTCACCTCCCCAAAACCCCAGAGGAGATGGAGGTTGTGTCTCGTGGGTTTGCTGGGCTGGCTCGACACAGAGCTTTCGTGAAAGCAGCAGGTGCGATCGACGGCTGTCGCATTCGGATCAAGGCTCCGAGCGGTCCTGATGGTCAGTGCTACAGAAACAGGAAACTGTTCCCATCTATCATCCTGCAGGCAGTTTGTGACCATCAGGGCCGCTTTATCGACACCTATGTGGGCTGGCCTGGGTCGGTCCACGACTCCAGGGTCCTCCGGCACAGCCCACTGTACAGGCAGTCAGCCTATCCTCCTCCAGGGCACTTCATCCTCGCGGATGGAGGGTACCCATGCCTCCAACATCCACTCCCCCTCATCACCCCCTACAAACGGGTGGTTCAAGGTGTGGGAGCCCAGCGCTTCAACAGCCATCATTCCAGGGCATGCTGCATCATCGAGCGTGCTTTTGGAATGATGAAGACCAGGTTCAGGACCATCTTCCTGAAAGCGCTGGAGGTCCACCACACCTTTGTACCTCATGTAAGTTAACACAAAGTGGAAATAAACTTTGGGTGTAATCTTTGTTTGGGAATGAAATATAAATTACATTTTTATCTCTATTACAGGTCATCATAGCATGCACCATCCTGCACAACATCTGCCTCAGTGCTGGTGACATTGTGGTGCAGGACGATGAACTGGAGGATGATGCTCCAGAAGATGAGGGGGAGGCTGGTTTGGAGGCAGTCAGTGGTGCCCTCTGGCGGGACCAACTTTCTGCTGAGGTGTCTGCTCTGGAGGAAGTACCACCAGATCACAATTACTGTTAACAGGCAAGTAATTTACGTAGGAATCTCTAGTTTAAAAATCATTTAGTCCTGTTATCTGCTAGAGTTACAAGTATTATACTCATGATCTCATTTTTTGCATATATCTGAATGTTAGTGATGTGACAGCTGTCGATTGAGCCAGCCCAGCAAACCCTTTTGATGGACGATGCAGTGGTCAGTGAGATGAGGCATCCAGAAGCACCCTCTGCAGACCACTCTGTCTGATGTTCCACTTGCCAACCAGAAACGTTCAGCCACGGATCTCGGTTCCTGCACTCCATCCACCTCGATCCATGTTTAGTAGATTTAGCAACACCACCAAAGACTCCCTGCTTTCCAAGTTTACTGTATATATTTAGGCCCGAGCAGTGAAGCTGCGAAGGCCTATTGTATCTGCTCCGTTTCTTCTTCTTATTATTCTTTTTTCTTCCGCGTCTTTGAATGGCCTTTAGGGGGTCTTAGCATATCCAAAAAGTCACCAAATTCTGGCCCAATATAGAAAGTGCATGAAATTTACGTATTTCACTGGCGATGTGAAAGTTCGTAAAAAAAGTGGCTGAACAGCGCCCCCTAGGGAGTCATCGTAGTCTGGCCCCCAAAAGAATCTGATGTGAACATCCGGTGGGTGTGGCCTATTTTCCAAAATAGCGCCCCCTAGGACCATTAAAACTGTCAGCCCCAAGCCATGCTTTGACTGAGGAGTACGAAATTTGGTACACTAATGTGGTGTCTCAGGACCTACAAAAAAGTATCTTGGAGCCAAGTGCGAAGTCACACAGGAAGTCGGCCATTTTGGTCCAAGTACTGGATTTAGTGGTTTTCGCACACGTTGTTTGGAGAAGGATGCTCCATCACCCTTTTCACCAATCACCTTCAAACATCTGTCATACACTCTTAAGACATAGATGAAAAAATTCAACCGTCGGATGTTAAATAAGTATAAAGGTGTGGGCGTGGCTAAGCCTCAAACTTTGACCTGTCGCCACGCCACTCTTTTTTTCACAGCTCCCTACTGGCCTCCTTTTAACCAATCACCAGCAATCACTGGCTAATAGCAGCAGACAAGTTGAGGTCACTTGGTCTATAGTACTGGCAGGTTTCGAATAAAGGCGGGGCTTTGGGAGCATGGCGAAATTCGCCATCACGCCATGGAAATACGTTTGTCTCTCATTTCTTCAATCACTGTGACATCGCCACACAATTTCTGATGAGTGATCCTACTCTGACCCCTAATAGAATTGGACAGCTGAAGTTTGTGGGCGTGGCCTATTTTCTGAAATAGCGCCCCCTATGACCATTAAAACTGTCAGCCCCAAGCCATGCTTTGACTGAGGATCACGAAATTTGGCACACTAATGTAGTGTCTCAGGATCTACAAAACAGTCTCTTGGAGCCAAGCGCAATGTCGCACAGGAGGTCGGCCATTTTGGTCCAAGTACGCGATTTAGTGGTTTTCGCACACGTTATTAGGAGAATGATGTCTCATCGACCTTTCCACCGATCACCTTCACACTCCTGCTATTTACTCTTAAGACATAGAGGAAAAATTCAACCGTCGGATTTCAAATAAGTATAAAGGTGTGGGCGTGGCTAAGCCTCAAACTTTGACCAGTCGCCATTACGTTACTTGACTTAGTAGCTCTCATGTGCATGATCAGATCAATTTCAAACTTTGTCTGTGTTATCACTGACCACATCTGAAGACAGTGACAATGTGGACAGCTGGCATCACCTAAGCCCCACCCCCTGACTACAGGAAGTTTACTGTTTTATGGTGAAATGCCCATATTTGTCCCCTCTAATTTAGTCAACATGACACAAAGGTCATGCACTGTCTTCATGATGTTGTAATGACCATTCAGATCTGATAGCTTTTCAGAAAGGGAGGGGCTTTGATGCCATGGTGAATTCTGTTCTGGTGGACGTTTCTGTTCTGCTGACGCGCCCTGGTGTCCCGGGCTGCTGGTCAGGAAGGAGCGGCGGGGTGCTGGGTTTTGAGAGCATTGGGGATGGAGCGGAGGGGGTAAGGACGGAGGGCGAGCAGCTTCGCTGCGAGGGCCGAACGACGCTGCTTGCAGCTTTAATTTACTTTTATTCCTTACAGTGTTCCCTTACCATTTATTTGCTATGTTGTTACTTGTTAAAAACTGAATAATAAAACTGTTAATGATCAAAAAAAAAGTCATCAAGCACCTTCGCTCACTAGATTACTGCCGAGAAACTGTAAAGGAGGTTTTTCTTCAAGAGCACATCGTGATGGAAATGGTGGACCTTAAATTTTTTGGAGAGGCCAAAGCTGCTACATGTATAAAGAGACAGAAAGCTGCCCAGATGGCATATGCTCCACTTTGTGTGAGGGTGGATTTTGGTGGATCCTCTACACAGATCTGTTTGTCTGTATTTGAGCTGGAAATACACAGTTTCTGCCGTCTTGGCAGAATATTTGTGACTTACAATGCTCTGAGGAACACCTAGCATTGTGCTTGTGCAAAGCCACGAATATCATGTCCTCGTAAAAATATAGCTAAATGGCATCTCTTTCAGACACAGAGAGACATCTTCAAATCAACTGTACCACTATCATCAGGCACCCCATCACAGATGACTCAGGAGAGTTCTTCCTTTGAGGACAATGCTGCCGTCGAAAGGAGTATACGCTATATTTTAAAAGAGAAAAAAATTCCTGTATCTCTTCCAGAAAATGTCATCTCACAGAAAATGGATCATCAGAAACAGCTCTTTCCTTGTGAAACGTTGTGCCAGGTGTGCCCAGAGCACCCAAAACTTGATGAGGCTGTTCTAATTACCAATAAAGCGAGGATTGTCAGTATGATGGGAGTGATTGAGAGTAAGTTTTAATGAATAAGATTAAACATCAGTGTGAAATAATCAGTTATAATTGTTCCTATACTAATGTTTTGACATTAATGTGACTTGTCTTTAACAGATGTTTCAACACACCATAGATTGTGTCCTCAGTGCCACATGGTCTGCAGATACCAGGAGTGGACAGATGGGCTTCACAACTTTGACAACCACGTCGTTTTGTCTCTTGAACTCTGCCTTTTTCTCAGAGAAAATCTGCAGGTGAGGATCACAAAAATAAAATGTACTCATCTGAAGATTGCTTTAAAAATGTGTTTGTGTCATTATGATATGTTGGTGCCCAAATTTAAATATCTGTGTAATCATAGTCTTCTTCACCCTATTGTCATATTACAGAACCATGTATCCGCTTCAAGGGTCATTGACTCATTGGAGGGCTTAAGAAGAGTGAAGTTTCCTTCTAGGGACACCATTTTTCATGCTTATTGCCATTTTGAGGCTTTGACTGACACAGACTACATGTACTCCTGCATAAACTGTGGGTTTCACCCCCCTGTGGTAGTTATGGACTTACACAGAAAAGGGGTGTTCAAGTTAGCAGGTAAGTTTAATGTACATTTGTGTTCATAGTTCATTGTGTACATTATGTGCATGTTCTTATGAGTCAATTTATTATAGTGAGTGACCTCAAAGCCCTGGAAGACTTCAATGGTGAACATGACATTGAAGGTTTTTGGAACTCTGTTCACCTGGAAATGATAAGCTGTGGGTTTTTTTCCAAGTGAGTGATTGCAAAAACTTATTGAAAGTCATTCAGTGTTTTAAAGTAATTTAGATTGTAATTAAAAACATGCCATTTTCTGTAGGCGGCGCAAAGAATCCATTTTCAGTTCCACCAAGTTACACGTCCTGGGCACCATGGATCGGGAATGAAACTCGAACAAGTGACATTGTGCTTAACACAGAGTTTCAAACAGTAGGAATAAGCTCTTCACATGAAGCAAAGCTTAGCGGTGTCACAGAAGACCGTCTGTTGGATGAACTCGCAAAACAAAAGGTAAAATTGCTTTTATGTTTTCAGAATATGTGACATAAAGTTCAGGGATTGTTCCATTTACATTTTTCCCTAATTACTGTCAGGTTGGAGTTGTAAGAAAATTGTGTAAAGCATGCAACATCGACTCCAAAGGCTCCCGCTTTGATCTCATCACCAGACAGAGGGAGAAGATGAAGAGCAGGCAGACATATGATAAGGTGTTTCAAAGCATATGGGGTGCCTCTGGTAAGCATCACTTAGCGATTATTAGAAGTAGCATTAAAATATGTCATTACAATCACAAACAACTTTTTAAATCTTTGCTTGCAGGAGGATGGTCTGTAATACTATGTCCACATGGCATTGTATACAGTGTTAAATTTAATCTTCGTGCTGAAAGTCCCCGGGATTTTGCTGACCTTCTCCTGTCCTGGAAGCACATGCCAAACGTCTGTGTTTACGATTTTGCGAGGGGTTTGGCGGCACACACCAATTTGCGGGTTCCTGATAAACTGCCATTTCATCCACATGAAGGTCGACTGGCTGAGCCCACTGAGGAAAATGTCAAGGCTGCACAGGATGGAAGCCTGAAAGTGAATCTTCCATGGCTACATGAAAGGATGGATAGTGTAAATGAAAATCCTCATCCTGTCACTGGATCATCTGACCACTATGTCCTGTATGACAGATTTCATGATGGAAATACAAAAGATCCCAAGGACATATTACGCAGAATTCAACTTGTCCCAGAGCTGAAAGGCTGGCTGAACAGTCAAGTTGTTGATCAGTTCTTTGCAAACATGAGGAAAAGCAATTACTTTTTAAGTAACATGAGTCCATCCACACATGAAATATAACTCATCATTATAACACTGTCACCAACAAGAAACTTTTGGAGAGGCAGCTAAGACATGGTCGACTTGGAAAGATCAATATCTCATTGTCGGCACTGGGTCAAGCTGTCGTAGGTAAGTACATGCATTGTCTCATGACCAGAACGCTACCATTGGTCACATGTTAGATTTGTTCCTATCTGTGTGTTTATATTGTTTCCTTTGTGTACCTAGCCCCACAGGCAGAGCCGGATTAAATAAATGAACTACACTAGGCAGGCTGCATTTTTTGCCCCCCCCCCCCGCCCAATCGATGTTATTTAATTAACTGAAATCTGAAACTTACCAAAGTTACTAATAAAAGTTCATTCACATTTTACATAGCCTAGTTTTTGGTTACAAATTGGTTGTTCGTATGCCAGAATAAGTCATGTGTTGTATGTTAAACTTTCTATCAGACTATTTTTTGACATTAATAATTTATACATCATTACACAGCTGTATTAAATGATAATAAATTATCCTCATCTTATCTATTGGGAGTGTCAATGTTAAGGCAGTAGTACTAGTAAATAACCACTAGGTGTCATTAAACTATGTAAACAGAGCAAATATATTTATCTTATTTGCTCTGTTAACATTAAACCAGCAGCGGCTCCAGACAATTTTTATTGGGGGACAATGGGGGGTCCTGGTCATTTCAAGGAGGTTCTCAAGAAAACAAAAAATGCAGTGGACAGCTAGTAACTGCATATTACTGCTACTAAACAACAAAATACTACAACTACTTTGTTTTTAATTAATTAGTCAATTGCAGTGTGCAAATAATATCCTTTAATTGCCATAGCCACACCCCCATGACACAAAACACCCATGACAGAACACATATTTACAAAATAGTATCTACTCTCATACTCTCACCACTTCTGCCCAGTTTCCCCCTCCTGTCTTCTTCTCTGCTCCTCTTAAGTCTCCATTCTCCACTTGTCTTCTCTCCATTCTCCACAGCTGTGATTTACTGCAACATATGAGTTTATTGTACACAAGAATAGGTTAGTATTTATGCTAACAACAGCAACATAATAGAAAGAGATTCACTTTTCTCACATTACTGACCGCTCTTTTGTCCAGTGTCCTCCTGTCTTCTTCTCTGCTCCTCTTTTCTCCAGTCTCCTCCTGTCTTCTTGATAGATGATAGACTCAGCACAGCAGTACTATGATCCATACTATTCTCATGTTCATGCAAGCGATTAGCACAGTTTTTCCAGTCATTATATCCAGTGACAAATTGATTGTCTCTTACACTGAACAACTTGCAGCAGAAACAGAATACAGTTCCAGTAGATGGTGAGTACACTAACCATTTTCTTGACAGCGTTTCTCCATTTAGCTTTTTTCTAAAGAAATGTTCCTTAGTTAAGCATCGTTTTACGTCTCCGTATTTCCTCTGTGATGCAGAGAAATCTCCAATATTTTGGGAGGGATGGTTTAGGGCAAAGTACTCACGCATCCTGTCATCAATTTCGCACCATTTTGCAGGATCAGATGGGTAGGTTCTTCTTCTTAATACCCTTTCTGGGTCTGGAGGCTCCTGCTGTATGTTGGGCTCACTTCTGGCTGGCTGCTGTCCTTCCAGTTCTTTCTGCGACTGCGTTGATGTTGATGGCGCAACAACGTCTTCCGTCGCATTTCCCGCCGCATCTTCCACCTCGTCTTCGGGCCGTGTCTCCTCCGGCCCGGCCTCTGGCTCTGCTGACTCCAGAGGGTTCACAGCTGTCGGACGGCTGCCCGAGCAGCCCGACAGAAACTTCTTTAAAGCCCCCCGCTGTTTCTTCTTTTGTTCCTCTTCTCTTTTTTTCTTTTTATGTTTTGCTGCACCTGAAAGCATCGCGAAAGTTAACCTAAAACACCTGCTACTAGCTTAATCGTGTCCCGCTCGATGATCCCGCTCCACTCTGACCACTTCCTTCTCTGACGTCCTTAATTGGGTGGCGCCCAAGTTATAGGCTACTGTGATAGGCTGGCGTTAATGTGATGTAGCTAATGTAACAGTCTATGGTTAAGATAAACATTGTCACTATTTTTAGTTAATAAATATTGAAATAGATTGTAGAGAGGACGAGTCCTCTGTACAAATTCTATCACAGGACATTTGTACAGTTTATTTTTTATTTATTTATTTTTTTATTTTGTCCCTCTGTCTGTGCCCCATCCAGCCAATCAGGCCCTAGGCACGTGCCTACTTTGCCTTTGCGTTAATCCGGGCATGCCCACAGGTGTGTAATAAACCCAGAGAAACCACAGAAACGGTGTTGAACCCAGCACCTTCAATGTCTGGTGACACTGGTAAAATTTCTTATTTTGAATAGTGATTGTCATATATAGGTGAAATAATAATCTTGCATTCATTATCTTGTTGTAGTTGCGGGCTCGTAAACGAACTTATCTGCTGTTTCAAATGAATTTCCGTCTGTAAACAGTGCTTA